CCATGCATCACACACTGTAGGCAGCGCAATCCTAACAACCTGTGCACTTTGCCTATGTCAACTAATACACTACTTTCTTTTTCTATTGGTCTCTGGAATGCCAGTCTGCTGTAAACAAAACAGATTTTGTCTTCATCAGAACAGATATGGAGAAATTTAGCATTACATCACTTGCTCACCAGAGTCCAAACAGCTGATAAAAACATCACAATAATCCACAAGTAATTCACACACTTCAAGGCCAATTAACTTCAATTATAACATCTTGCGAAGCAAAAAGCTGTGTTTGAAAAAAAAAATCATCAAAGCATTTTTAACTTAGAGTCCTCTATCTATAATATTGCTTTCTTAAGTGAAGAAGTCATCTCATCTGAATCAGGAGATACAACCCAACACAGTTCTAAACAAATATTCATATGCTGCATATAAAACTTAGCTGTAATCACATTTCCTTGCCCTTATGACTTAATAGTATATTGCAGCAATCATAATATACATTAGCAGCTAAATTTATGTAAATTAAAGTGCAAAAGTGACAAAAATTTTGTATGGTTTTAATTTATTCTTAATACATCACATGATCATCGTAATAAAATAACATTATGATAATAATTACATATTAAGCACTCATCAATCATTCCAACGACAGCACGTCCAAAAATCTGTAAATGTCAATCAAAATGCTGTTGCAAGGGGGGGTGAAAATGTGTAATAAATAACAGTGCATGCACATGTGTGTATAGTATGTTAAGGTTTAAGATCTATATTCCAGAAAACAGCTTATTAATTGAATTAATATAATTACCCACATTGCTATTGAGCTATGATTGATGTTTTTAAAGACACAGTACATACTGTAGTCCTGATGTGTCAAAGCACCTTAAATACATTACAGGTCTATGATGAGTTTCTCTAATGTAAACAAGTGTTTTTTTTTACAGAATTGTGCAGATTTGAATGCATCCTGCACACAAGCATTTGGAAATTTCAGAAAATTTGAATATGCTTAAGAAAAACACTCAGTTTTGACAAATCCAGTCAAGGGTAGTGTTGGTTTGGAGCCATTTTGGGATTTGGAGCTTCATTTTCTACGAGAGGTTAGAGAATGTTGAAGCCTCCAGGGCTAAATGTTGTGGTTGAATGACAGCTCTGAAGGGTTTTTGAGTTCAGGTCAGTGTTAGGGGCAGTTAAATATTCAGTGTATGTCCAGTATTGTGCTCTGACTCAACAGCATCTAAGAATTTTGTGCCATTGTGCACTGAATGGTGCACAGAGCTTAACGTGTATGAAATGTATCAGGTTTAAAGTCCATTGTTGTTTTTTTTGCTACAATATTTATTGAAATAAGAAGGTTGTCATGTCAAGTTTGTGATAAGAGTAGGTTGTGCATTGAAAATAAACAGCCATGTGGGTTGGGTTGTAGCTGGTCTGACTTTATGTGATCTACAAATCATCAGTGGCGGGTGTGTTATAGCTCTTGAAAAGTGGCTGCATAAAGAGGCCGACGGTTCCTACAACACACACTAAAACAAAGATCCACAGAAACAGACGGTCAATCACCATAGCCACATATTTCCAGTCCTCGATGATCTGTGAGAAAGAGAGAACATGCAGATTTATTTGAATTTGTGTGTGATATAAGTGCACTACCATTCAAAAGTTGTAATTTTTTTTTATGAAGTCTCTTTTGTTCACCAAGGCTGCATTTATTTAAACAAAAAAACAGTAAAAACAGTAATCTTGTGATATATATATATATATATATTTTTTTTTT